GCCACTGCAACACCTCCTGCTGACCATGCTGAGAATTAGCTCTGGTTTGCTGATGTGCTTTCATCTAGTGGCACCTTTCCACCCTCAGTTCTGTCATCAGGACTTGTGTTGCTCAGTTCTCTGTGCAGCCACGCGCTGCATCACCTCCAACCTCCACTGTCTGTTTCCCTGGGCCACTCCCCGCAGCCCTAGCACCTTCCCCACCCTGGTAACAGGGCCTCAGTCTGGCAGCAATCAGCCAGGGACTCACTGAGGCTCCTCTGCCCAGCACTGCTCTATCCACAGAGCTCTATTCTTTCCTTTCTTCAGAATTGTCAATCCTCCCTCCTCAAACTCCAGCAAGTGACTAAAGCTGCTCTGTTGGGCAGCCCTTCTTATAAGGCCCAGTCTGGCTCTGATTGGCTGTTTCTCTAAACCTTCTCCCAATTGGCTATTTCTACAAGCCCTTCCCTAATTGGCTGCCTCTTGTACAGCCTCCCAAGGGTTGTTTTAACCCCTCTTCTGCCCATGTGGGGAAGATGCCTCACCCCATTAGGACTAATGTTACAGTGACAAAAGTTTATTTTATTTTTCTCTTCTCTTTCAGGCAATCTTGGTGACATGGATTATTTTGATAATTTGCTCTCAGGGAAAAAAATTAAAATGTCCTTTTCCTGCTAATTTTTTCATTTTAGTCCTCAACTTTAGAGTAAACATGGATCCAAATACACACAAATAAAGGTTCCAGTGGTTTCCATCAAGGCAGAAGTAGGAGGAATCTCACGAGTTCCATCACCTGACTGGAACTCCTGGCATAGCAGGAAGTAGTTTATACATGCAGCCCACACTGGAATTAGAGTAACAGAACTTGAGGCTAGAAGGGACGGACAGCTCACTCAGTCAGGATCAAAGCGCCCCAACACTCCCCTGCACTCCCCAACACGCCCACTAACTCCAACAACCAAATCAGACCAAAATATCACAGAGCTCAGAAGAATAGGAAGGACTCGTGTCCAATGCCTGTTCAAGGGCAGGAAATGGATTAAGTCAAATGCACCCAGATAATCCTGGCAAGTGACCTGCATCCATACTGCAAAGAAGACTGAAAACCCACAAGCTTTCTGCCAGTCTGAGATGTGGGGAAAACTCTTCTCAGCCCTGTACAGGATGATTGATGAGACACTGAGCATGTGTGCGAAAACCAGCCAGCTCTGGAGAGAGAATTCTCGGTGCCACCTCAGAGCACCCACCCACCCTATCCAGTGTCCTATCTCCAGCTGTGGCCATCTCTGGTGCTTCAAAGAAAGGAGATACCAGAACAAAACCCCAGAATACATGGGGAAGGGAGAAATCCCTTCCGGACCCCCGCAGTACCAGCGTTCCTCAATCACAGGTAGGAGACAGACCTTAGGAGATGGTCTGGTATTACTGCTAATAGGGGACGAGCAACATATGACCCCTGGATGGTCCTCAGTGGGATCATGGGGTAAGAGTGGAACTCTGGGGACTCGGTGCCACAGTGCATCTATGGCAGACGGCCTTAATCCAGCTCTGGTTCTGTGCCCTCCCTTCAGATGGTGGAGAGAATGCAATCTTCCCCATTCCTCCATAGAATCATAGAATAATAGGACTGGAAGGGACCTCAAGAGGTCATCGAGTCCAGCCCCCCGCCCTCAAGGCAGGACCAACCTCCGTCTACACCATCCCTGACAGATGTCTATCCAACCTGTTCTTAAATATCTCCAGAGAGGGAGATTCCACCACCTCCCTTGGCAATTTATTCCAATATTTGACCACCCTGACAGTTAGGAATTTTTTCCTAATGTCCAATCTAAACCTCCCCTGCTGCACTTTAAGCCCATTACTCCTTGTCCTGTCCTCAGAAACCAAGAGGAACAAATTTTCTCCTTCCTCCTTGTGACACCCTTTTAGATATTTGAAAACCGCTATCATGTCCCCCCTTAATCTTCTTTTTTCCAAACTAAACAAGCCCAGTTCATGAAGCCTGGCTTCATAGGTCATGTTCTCTAAACCTTTAATCATTCTTGTTGCTCTTCTCTGTACCCTTTCCAATTTCTCCACATCTTTCTTGAAATGTGGCGCCCAGAACTGGACACAGTACTCCAGCTGAGGCCTAACTAGTGCAGAGTAGAGCGGCAGAATGACTTCACGAGTTTTGCTTACAACACACCTGTTGATACAACCTAGAATCATATTTGCTTTTTTTGCAACAGCATCACACTGTTGACTCATATTCAACTTGTGGTCCACTATGACCCCTAGATCCCTTTCTGCCATGCTCCTTCCTAGACAGTCGCTTCCCATCTTGTATGTATGGAACTGATTGTTCCTTCCTAAGTGGAGCACTTTGCATTTCTCTTTATTAAACCTCATCCTGTTTACCTCTGACCATTTCTCTAACTTGCTAAGGTCATTTTGAATTATGTCCCTATCCTCCAAAGAAGTTGCAACCCCACCCAGTTTGGTATCATCTGCAAACTTAATAAGCGTACTCTCTATCCCAATATCTACATCATTGATGAAGATGTTGAACAGTATGGGTCCCAAAACAGACCCTTGAGGAACTCCACTTGTTATCCCTTTCCAGCAGGATTTAGAACCGTTAACAACAACTCTCTGACTACGGTTATCCAGCCAATTATGCACCCACCTTATCGTGGCCCTATCTAAGTTATATTTGCCTAGTTTATCAATAAGAATATCATGCGAGACCGTATCAAATGCCTTACTAAAGTCTAGGTATATGACATCCACCGCTTCTCCCTTATCCACAAGGCTCGTTATCTTATCAAAGAAAGCTATCAGATTAGTTTGGCATGACTTGTTCTTCACAAACCCATGCTGGCTATTCCCTATCACTTTATTACCTTCCAAGTGTTTGCATATGATTTCCTTAATTACCTGCTCCATTATCTTCCCTGGGACAGACGTTAAACTGACCGGTCTGTAGTTTCCTGGGTTGTTCTTATTCCCCTTTTTATAGATGGGCACAATATTTGCCCTTTTCCAGTCTTCTGGAATCTCCCCTGTCTGCCATGATTTTTCAAAGATCATAGCTAAAGGCTCAGATACCTCCTCTATCAGCTCCTTGAGTATCCTGGGATGCATTTCATCAGGACCTGGTGACTTGCTGACATCTAACTTTCCTAAGTGATTTTTAACTTGTTCTTTGTGTATCCTATCTTCTAAACTTACCCTCTCTCTGCTTGTATTCACTACGTTAGGCACACCTCCAGACTTCTCGGTGAAGACCGAAACAAAGAAGTCATTGAGCATCTCCGCCATTTCCAAGTTCCCTGTTACTGCTTCTCCCTCCTCGCTAAGCAGTGGGCCTACCCTGTCCTTGGTCTTCCTCTTGCTTTTAATGTATTTATAAAAGGTCTTCTTGTTTCCCTTTATGCCTGTAGCTAGTTTGATCTCATTTTGTGCCTTTGCCTTTCTAATCTTGCCCCTGCATTCCCGTGTTGCTTGCCTATATTCATCCTTTGTTAGTTGTCCTAGTTTCCATTTTTTATATGACTCCTTTTTTATTTTGAGATCGTGCAAGATCTCCTTGTTAAGCCAAGCTGGTCTTTTGCCATATTTTCTATCTTTCCTACACAGCGGAATTGTTTGCTTTTGGGCCCTTAACAACGTCCCTTTGAAATACTTCCAACTCTCCTCAGTTGTTTTTCCCTTCAGTCTTGCTTCCCATGGGACCTTACCTACAAGTTCTCTGAGCTTATCAAAATCTGCCTTCCTGAAATCCATTACCTCAATTGTGCTGGTCTCCCTTCTACCTTTCCTTAAGATCATGAATTCTATTATTTCGTGATCACTGTCCCCTATACTGTCTTCCACTTTCAAGTTCTCAACTAGTTCCTCCCTATTTGTTAAAACCAAATCCAGAACAGCTTCTCCTCTGGTAGCTTTTTCAACCTTCTGAAACAGAAAGTTGTCTCCAATGCAGTCCAGAAACTTATTGGATAGCCTGTGCCTCGCTGTGTTAGTTTCCCAACATATGTCTGGATAGTTGAAGTCTCCCATCACCACCAAATCTTGGGCTTTGGATAGTTTTGTTAATTGTTTAAAAAAGGCCTCATCCATCTCTTCCACCTGGCTAGGTGGCCTGTAGTAGACTCCTAGCATGATATCACCTTCGTTTTTTACCCCTTTTAGCTTAACCCAGAGACTCTCTACACAGCTATCTCCTACGTTCATCTCCACTTCAGTCCAAGTGTGTACATTTTTAATATACAAGGCAACCCATCCTCCCTTTTTTCCCTGTCTGTCCTTCCTGAGCACAGCCCTATCAGAGGTGACAAAGGGGAACACAGCACCCCCCATGACAGTGTTGCCAACTCTTCTGATTTTATCCCAGGTCTGGAGAAAACTGGTATTTTTTCTTACAGATACACCTGAAATTAATGAGAGACTCTCGCCTTGCAAACTGTTGAGTCCTCAGTTTCGAGGAGTCTCAAGCAACTCATTGGACTTCCACAGTGGGTGAGGTACATAACCCTGATCTCTGTACTGCCTAGGTATGCACACAGCCCCCTGACCCACTCCCCTTTCACAGTCCTGCCCCAGCATGCACTGAGCTCAGTGTAAAACCTAAGATGGGTTCCCTGGGGCAGGCTTCTCTCTGGTTGTTCCAAAGCCCTGGTCAGGAGTTTAGGAGGGGATGCCCAGATTATCTGTGTCTGTTGATTTTCCACTGGCAGGGAATGGGGCAGATGTTCCAGAAAGAGGCTTATAAAAAGGGGAATTACTTCTAACATACAAATCCAGTGATAAGCCAGTTCTTCAGGCTGGCAAGTCAAAACCCTCAGGGAAATAGTTCAGTAAGCAAAGAGGTTCTGTTCACGCTGATTCTGAACAGCAGGAAATGGTAAGTAAGCATGGAACTTTCATACCAACCTCAGCTATGGCCACTGTGCCATTCCCTGCTGCAGCCTCTCTGTGCTGTGCAACCTTTCCTGCACCTTTGTACAGTCTGCTCACCCTTCTTTTGCTGCTGCTCCTGCTTCTGCAAGCCCCTGGGAGAATTCCCCTTCTCTTTGCTTTCTCTGTGGGCTGCACATTCTCACCTTGAGGTGAGTGGAAATGTCAGCTGGAATGTGGGGATGGAAAAAAAATTGATGCTTGTCCAAACCTACTCATGTTTATATTGGAGCCTGTGAGTGACATCAGAGCCGGGAAGAGTATAAACACCAGCAGGACCTTACGCCGAGACTTTAAAAACTGCAAACACATTGCTGCTTCCCCAGTGCCTGGGGACTGATGTGCTGAAGTGCCAGAGAACAGGGCAGTATGAGAAGCCAACTGGAAAAGCAGCTTCTCTTCTCTCTTCTCTGCATCCTTTCCAAGGTAAGGAAGCTGGGGGCTTCATTCTTAGTCACGAAAGCTTTTGGTTCTGACTTACAAAGTAACCTGTAACCAACAGATGCCAGCTGTGTCACTGCAACAATGCAAAGCTCTTGCCGCTTTTATTAGCATGCATGCTGCAGAATGTATCATGTTCATGCAACCCCTGGAAGGCAGAGGCAGGAATTTGTGAGGAACAGAGAAATGTTGAATTAAGGAGCAATGATTTAAAATGAATGGGCCAAATGTATCTCTAGTGCAATTCCACTAAAGACAAAGGAATGACAACACAGGGGGGGTTGGACATAGTTGCATGACTCATCTTCATTACTGATTATTTGGAAGGCTCTGGCATGCACACCTTCTACCTGAAGACAATTGTAGTAATGGTTTATAGACCTCCTCACCAGATTCATTGTCCTGCACTGAAGCCTCTAGGGGCACAGAGCCAAGCAGCCGGCAGTGCTTTTTCAGGGCTACTCAATTATTATCCAATTTTCACTCCCAAGATGCAGAGAAGCACATGTACAGCTGATGCCTCCTACAGGATTTTGGTTGCTCTAAACCTTTTCCCCCAGGACTCTGAGCACAGCATGAAACAATTCCCTTTGCACAAAGAGCAGGACACATTAAAACTTTTTGAGGTTTCCAGTTGCAATTTTTTTGAAATGCTGCTTGAATTCCTCAAGTTGGACAGACCACGAGGAATGAGAACAGTGCAATGTGGTGCTTGTTGGAATTTTAACCCACGTGTTTGTGGCCTGTAATCATTAGGACAAATTGGCAATAAAGACAAGCTAACTTAACTACAAAGCCACAGAGGAAAATAGGATTAATAGAACCAGATCATATCAATCATCTGGATAATTTCCCCCCCCCCCCCCCAAACGGCGCCACGCTTCTTATAGACGATTCTTCATAGGCACATGAAAACCTATTATAAAGAAACAGCTGACCAAACTGTACATGAAGAAAAAAAATCTTCCTGGCCCTTGTTGCTCTCAACTTATTTCCTGAAGACTGATGATTGATAACCCTTGTAATGTCATCCTTGCCAGCGTAACTGCAGATATTGTACCTGTTCTTATTCCTGTAAATCTCACCATGCTTTTTGTCTCCATAATAGCAGGATTCAATAATAAAAGTCTATTAAAGAGGAGAGTGTGCTGGCTTTGCTGGATACATTTGAGTCTAGTGCCTGCCACTGTAGTTGCTACAGGGAGATAAAGGATCATCCTGTGAATTGCACTGTTGCAGACGAGGAAAATAAACAGCAGCATCAAGATCCTTTCTGTTCAGGCATAGGCTGCCTGAATGGGCCAGTGCTGCTATGAGTCAGCCTGCTAATGAAAGAGGGAAAGGAAAGGAGGATGGTAATTAATATGCGCATTCCCCTGGAACCCACAGATTGCTCCCTTCACTGTCAGTTGCAGCAGGGTCTGAATCAGCATGGAGGCTAAACTGCTAGAGCTCCATTTAGTAGACAGAAATGCATGGCACATTCTGCAGTGGGGGAGGTCTAGGTTGGATATTAGGAAAAATTATGTCACTAGGAGGGTGGTGAAGCACTGGAATGGGTTACCTAGGGAGGTGGTGGCATCTCCATCCCTAGAGGTTTTTAGGGCTTGACGAAGCCCTGGCTGGGATGATTTAGTTGGGGTTGGTCCTGCTTTGGGCAGGGGGCTGGATTCGATGACCTCCTAATGTCTCTTCCAGCCCTATGATTCTATGAAATGCCCTCTACTCCGCTGCTGTTCATGTCGTATACCAGGAGGCGATCAATCCAGTGCCTTTCACTAGCAATGAATTCACTTGACAAATACAAATGAAGATACTATTTTTTTCCTGTGATAGCCTTCCTGTGTCTGCAAAATATATGTGCACACAGGCAATGGTGCATGCAGAATGGGTAATAGATATTTATGTCTATCGACCTACCTAAACTCCAGCAGGTCACTGCACTGCAAATCAGTTGGCTGCCCACGCAAACAGGCATTTGTGCACATCTTTCCTAAGCAATTATCCTTTCTGTCGGAGCAGCTCTATTTTCCAAGCTCAAGTAAGTTCCAATTGTTTGGAAATTTCAGCCCAGTGTGTCTCTTGCACAACCGGCTATAGGGGTGCCGAGGCTGCTTCAGAAAAGGCTCAGAGCACCACTAAGGACATACTAAAAGAGGAAGCATTTGGGCCAAAGCAAGAAGTATGACAGTCATAGTATTTCTTTCGTTTGAGTCAGCAAGCATAATTTTGGGTACCTACAGAAGCTGGTAAGATGACCCACTGATCTGATCCAATGTGGTACCTGTAGGGAAGCTGTTGCAATGTACTACTCTGGTTGTGAGCAACCGGCATATGGCCTGTTGGGGTTCTCTGTGGGGCCTGTTGGGGTTCTCTGTGTAGACGTTTTGTTTACTGTTGTTCATACGCAGGGTTAACAGATTCTGCTGATCTCTGTCCAGGTAGGTCTTTTTCCTACAGGTATTAAGCACATGATACTATTTATATATTTGTTAATCTCCAAGGTGCTACAGGACCATTGTTGCTTTTTAACATTGACTGTGACAGCCATGCGTTCCCTCTGCATCCAATCAAAGCGCTGCTACGGTTCAGTCGGCACGCTTGCAAATTCTGGGTATGCAGCAGAGTTAGCAAAACTCTGGAGAAATTGGAGAAGGTCCAGAGAAGAGCAACAAGAATGATTAAAGGTCTAGAGAACATGACCTATGAGGGAAGGCTGAAGGAACTGGGCTTGTTTAATTTGGAAAAGAGAAGACTGAGAGGGGACATGATAGTGGTTTTCAGGGATCTAAAAGGGTGTCACAAAGAGGAGGGAGGAAAAATTGTTTTTCCTGGCCTCTGAAGACAGGACAAGAAGCAATGGGCTTAAACTGCAGCAAGGGAGGTTTAGGCTGGACATAAGGAAAAAGTTCCTAACTGTCAGGATGGTTAAACACTGGAATAAATTGCCCAGGGAGGTTGTGGAATCTCCATCTCTGGAGATATTTAAGAGTAGGTTAGATAAATGTCTATCAGGGATGGTCTAGACAGCACTGGGTCCTGCCATGAGGGCAGGGGACTGGACTCAATGACCTCTCGAGGTCCCTCCCAGTCCTAGTATTCTATGATTCTACCCTGTCCCAGGAGAGTCAGACCATCTTAGTTTTGTCAATCGTGCAGCCCACAGAGATGGAGGACCAGCCATGCAGCCCACTCACTAGCCTAGGTTCCCCATTGCTCTACTGCTCTTGATCAGTAACTCACATTTTAACTGCTTCACAGCAGTACAGACAGACATAGCCTATTAACAATGAAACACCTAGGAGCTGTCATCTACACCCATGTCATTTTATTGCATGGCCACACTGTGTAGGTGTATATAATGGTAGCTGGGCCAAGTCCTGAGACTGTGACTCTGTTTCTATTCAGTCCTTACAGCCTGTTCTCAGGGTAACCTGCTGCTAAAGTACCAAAGTGGCAACAATACTTAATCCTTACCTAATATTTTACATTTTCAAAGTACGGTGTAAAAAAAATACTTAACTCAACCCCCAGTTCCAGGGCAGGTCAATATTATCAATCTCGTTTTTTCAATGGGGAAACAAAGCTGTTATGTGATTTTTCCCAAAGTCTCACTGCAAAGTGTGGTCTTTGAGGTTGGGGGGGGTGGAGGGCTCCACCCCTGGAAAAGGCAGGGCCTCAGGTGGAAGGGGCGGTTCCCCCATGTGCCCCTGGTGGGGAGAAGAGACTTCGCATGCTCACCCACTGCCAGGCCAATTGGGACCTGGGGACACCCTCCAGCCCACCCTGTCAAGGGCATGTGGCACCTAGAGGCAACCACTGGCCCTTTTCAACAGCTGGTGGTTCCCTATAGGCGGTGCACCCCTCTGGCAGCGGGAGGGAGCCACCAGCCACTTTGAACAGTGAATTACTTTATGCACTGCCCTGCCCCGGCCTTGATTGACTTGCGAGTGGGGGAGCGGCAGGGCGGGCTGCAGTCTGGATCAAATGGTTCGGCGGGCCCACAGGCCATATCTTGCCCACCCCTGCTTTACAGGAACAATTCTTTTCCGAGCTCTCTTGAAACCTCTCTGGAATGCAATCTCCTGAGTTATGCTGGGCACAAAACCTCGACCTCCCCCCCATGTTAGTAACCCCCCAGCAAGCGTGAGATGAGCACCATGGGATTCCCTGTAAGGCTGCAGCCTCTAGCTAAGTAAGGAAAACCCTTTGTAAGCACAGGTGGTTTTGCCTCTGCAGGTCTGTGCTCAGCTCTGCCGGACACCATGCTACTGCCCCTGGATCCCGCCCCGCTGCCCTCCCGGATCCCCTCTGGTTCTGGATGGATGCTGGGGGTGGCCTGCAACCACCTCAGTGTGTGTGATCAGAGCCAGGGCCTCGTCTGTGATTACAGCGATGCCCACCTGGGGAGAGGAGGAACCTGCAACTGTGAGCACATTCCCTCTCTCTCTGTTCCGTAGGGCGTGGCTGGTGCCAGGGGAATGTCTCCCCCAAATCTCAGCCTTTCGGCTCAACCCATCCTACGACGGTTGGGAGCTGCAGCCAGACCTGCTCTCGGGGGAGTAGTTAATAGCCTGGTGTCCGCTCCAGGCTAGAGCTCAAACCAGTTTGTATGATGGTTTTGCTGACCCAGTTTCCAAGCCAGTTAGAATTTAGAGGGAGTTGTCCTCCATAGCGACCAAGCCCCTGCACTAGCAAGGAAAAGCACTGTCCTAGAATAGGACGGGATGAAATAGGTCTCTGGAACATGTTTGTAGAGAACCCCAGATCCAGCATTTACGCCCCAGAACGTGCCAGGGTAACAAAGGCTCTGGCCTCAGTGCAGAGGACACACAGAGGACATGGCCTGGATTTTATGTCCTTTCCACTTCTGTTCTCTCTGCAGCTCTTACATTAGCTGTCAGGAGCAGAGCAAACACTCCTTGGCTGTGTCTAGACTGGCAAGTTTTTCCGCAAAATCATCTGCTTTTGCAGAAAAACTTGCCAGCTGTCTACACTGGCCACTTGAATTTCCGCAAAAGCACTGACGATCTCATGTAAGATTGTCAGTACTTTTGTGGAAATACTATGCTGCTCCCGTTCGGGCAAAAGCCTTTTTCCGAAAAAACTTTTGCACAAAAGGGCCAGTGTAGACAGCAGAGATTTGTTTTCCACAAAAAAGCCCCGATGGCGAAAATGGCGATCAGGGCTTTTTTGCGGAAAAGCGCGTCTAGATTGGCCACAGACGCTTTTCCGCAAAAAGTGCTTTTGCAGAAAAGCGTCCTGCCAATCTAGATGCGCCTTTCCGAAAATGCTTTTAACAGAAAACTTTTCCATTAAAAGCATTTCCGGAAAATCATGCCAGTGTAGACGTAGCCCTTGAGTTCAGAGAGATGAGGTCAAGTGACAGGGACATGAGATGAACAAACACCAAATCTTCCACAGGTTACAAGAGCTAACTGGCAATGGAATCCCTTGCCTTAGGGGGTTCCCAAGAACCAGCAGTTGCTGCTTGTTTGAAGGACTTGCTTGTCTTTTGGGGTGTTTCTGGGGTGCTCTATACCATAGTAACTAAGCTCCTGTGCTCCACTAGGGGGCAGAAAGGCTGTTGCAGTCCTTAAACTTTGCAGACATGAAAGGCGATTGCAAAGTAAAGAGTCAGACCAATGAACCTCTTCTCTGGACAATTAGCAAGAAAACAGGTGAGAAGGTTGGGAAGGAGGATGGGACCCCAGCGGCAGAGAAGCCATAGACCCTATTGAGAAGCTGTTCTCTCTCCCTCTGTCTGTCTGTCGCACTCTCTCACACACAGACGCAAACTCTCTGATCGCTCTCTCAGCTGCGTGACACTCTTCAGTCCAGTTCAGTCTTGAAGGGATAAATTAAGAGCCTCTCAGGCAAAAAAAAAAGCAGCTTCCTACGATCCCACATAGGGTACCTCTCCGCCAGGGTCTGTTTCTCTTGCCATGGACTCACCAGACAACAGGCAATGAAAATAGGATCCCGTCCTGTCCCTGCTCCCCTTTTGTCTTCTTAAATGAGACTGCAAAGCACATGGGTCATGGGATCATGCGACTGCTGCTCCTCAAAAGCACTTTCCATCCATGGCAGTCTCCAGAGCTAGTCTACACTACAGAGTTAGGTCAATGTAAGGAGTTTATGTTGACCTAAGTCTGTAAGGGTACGTCTAGACTACATGGCTCCACGGATGGAGCCATGTCAAATAGTTTACTTGGCATAGTCAAAGAAGCGGGGATTTAAATAATCCCCGCTTCATTAAAATAAAAATGGCCGCCGCGCTGTGCCGACGATCAGCTGATCCCGCACAGTGCAGCAGTCTAGATGCGGTACAGTCGACAAGGGAAGCCTTTGTTGACTGCTCCGGTAAACCTCGTGACTTGTTGCCTTCAGAACCATCCCACAGTGACTGTTACTTAGGCACAAGCGCTCCAGGTGACAATGTGTAAGTGGGGGAATGGTCCCGCTATTGTGGGGAACATTCCTGGCTTCTATACCACCCCGGTGAAATGGACCAGCGAAAGGATCTGAGTCCCCGCTCCCACTTCCTTTACCCCATGGCTTCCCTGATCCTGAGGGCTCCCCCTCCACTCTCCTGAGTAGCAGAGTCCTCAAAACCCCAACAAGGCTGGGCCCAGGTTTCCTGGGGCTTAATCCCCAACCTTGTAGTCACTAGGGGCAGGAGTTAGGGTGTCCCCACTCTGAGGTGCTCTCTTCACACTGCAGGCTTTCTTGGCCCAGTGATCATTTCATAAGGTTCAAAGCAAATACAATTTATTAAACATCAACTGATTAAAGAGAAAAGAATAAGAAAAAATGAGAATGGTTAAATGAGAACACACAGCCCTGCTCTGTAGCACAGGGACATCAAAACAGCAGCCTGCAGAGTGTAAGGACAGTCCACAGTCTCTTCCTTATAGGCCCCTTAGAGGCCCTGGAAGTGCTGCAGGGGGGCTGCAGGCTGGACACGCTTGCTCTGGCAGTGACCACACAGCCTCAAATTCTAAGTGGCCAGACCCCTCTCCCAGTCTGGCCTGCTGGGCCTCTTGGCTGGGGATATCTCCCTGCCCAGAGCCCTCTCCCGCACTTTGCTGGTCCCAGCTGCTCACCACATCCAGCTGCAGGCTGTGCTGCTTTGCCAGTCTCCAGCTCCTTCGTTGCTTCTCTGTCCCTTTTGGCTCTATGAGCACTGCCAGTCTGCTGCTCAACACAGGGTCTGCACTCCTTGGGCTGTCTGTGCCTGGCTCTGTTGCTGCAGGACTGCTTCTCCACACAGCTTGCTCCTCTTAGCTGTCTCTCAGCTCTCTCCTTGCTCAGAGAGACCCAGAAAATTCCCAGCTCACCGGGAGTTCGGGGCCTGGCCTCTCACTTTCCTCACTGGCCTGTCCAACCTGTCAATCAGGCCGAGCTGGAGTGTTGGCTGCTTTCCATTGTCTCTGGGGTCTGTCGGTCTCAGGGCCCTGATTTCTCATGGACCCTTCCCCTTTTGACACTGGGAGCTCGTGAACCAAAAACTCCCACAGAGTTTTAGTAAGGGACTAACAGTCCCCTTACAAATGCATACCGCCAACACAAGGCATAAAATATGGACATGCAACAGTCATTCGGCCACTCCTGTACGTCGATGTAACTTAATTTTGTAGTATAGACTTCCCCCAAGAGAAAGTCCTGGGGGTTCTGATTACACCCGAGACATGTCCAGCAGCAGCCTGAGAGCTTCACATTCAACGTATTGAGTACATCTCACAAGTGGCTCCCACTCAAGAGAACCTCAGCAAAACAGCTGTTGTCTGGCTCCGGTGAGGGAGTCCCCTACAGAGCTGCTGCCTGGGGCTCATGAGGGTCCAGTTTTCGGGCCCCGCTGTGGAAATGGCCTGGTGCCACACAGAATAAGTGCAGCCTTTGATGTGGGAACACAGGTAGCTGCCCCTGTGGCTGGCTTCTACCACCTGGCAGCTCAGAGTGAGAAGACTGGGCTTTGAGCGTCGCCATGGAATGTGCTACAGACTGACGGTTATTATTTATGTATTAGTTAGTGCTGGTCCAATGAGTCATTGTGAATAAATTCTCCAACATTTTGGCATTTGCCTCATAAGGACCCGTCATTGTTTCCATTGTATCTCTGCAGAGGCACAGATGATATTCTTTAGTTAATTAATCCAGGAACTCTTGGCACTAATCAGCAAAAGGTTTATTTGAAAATAAATGGTGTCACTATTAGACCAGCTCTGTTATTATTTCACATTTGTAGCTGGTGCCACAGGTATTCACAATGGTTCAGAGGAAGAATTCCTCTCCCTCTCTTTGTCTAGGCACTTACCTTCAGTGTTCCCTGTGAGCTGTGCGCTTGTGCAGCCACTCAGGAGAAATTCAGCTGCTGCCCAGATGATTAGCAGGGCACCCACAGTTAGTGTGAGAGGACAGAAGGGGAGCGGTTTCTACTGGTGGTACACATTCGCACATACGTTAGTGCACATAAATTATTCTGCACATGGGTGGAAAAAAATCCACCCATGGGTTGAAAAGATCAGAGGGAACATTGCTTATATTGTGGTCACCACCCCTTGAGCCAGGAGCGAAACCCCATTCCTGGGACAAGACACTCCCAAGCTAGGCATGGGAGCTTTTTGTAGCCCCAGCAAAGCCAAGCACCTGGCTAGTCAGTTACCTCCTTCACCAAGCCACTCAGGGCCAGACGCAAAGCCCTTTGGCATCAATGGCAAGACTCTCGGATCACTGGCCATTAGATCAGGCCCTACGTTGAGCCCACAAATGACAGATTCTGCCTTGTAATTATTGCATGTTTGCCCTCAGCGGCGCCTGAGCCCTTCTCTCTAAATTTGACTGGTTGCTTTGTGACTGTCGGGTTCCTCTGCATGTTGGTTGCAGTTGAGGAGGGAGACGACAGCTGCGAGGTGAATGGAAAGGTCTATCGAGACGGAGAGGTGTTCCAGCCCAGCTGTAAGATCCAGTGCCGCTGCTCAGATGGAGGGTTCACCTGCGTACCCCTGTGCAGTGAGGATGTCCGCCTGCCCACTCCAGACTGCCCTCATCCGAGGCGAGTGGAGGTCCCAGGGAAGTGTTGTCAGGAATGGATCTGTGAGAGGCAAGACAGTCACTTCCTTCAGGATGCCATGACAGGTAACGTCTTGAGTGCCCTGGTACAATTTGTAGGTATAAAAATCTAGATCAAGTAATAGCCCTGGAAGGCACTGAAAGGGCGACACTAAATGGAACCTGTTCTGGCAATTGGCTTCCTTACAGTTTATAACCCGAAGCAGTGAGCAGCTAAGTAACCGTACCTAACAACACCTTATCTTTGTGCTGGAGCAAGCCCCCTGAGGGTGAGATGACAGATCAGGCTACACCAGGGGTTTTCAAACTAGGGGTGGTGACCCAGTACTGGTCGTGGAATGTCGGGCACTGGGGCTCGTTGCTGCAAGGGGGTCAGGTGACCAGTGGGGGTGCTAATGCAGCTTCCTGCCTGTCCTGGCACTGCAGACTGTGCAGCACCCTAAAAGTGGCCCGCAGCAACAGGCGTGGCTTCTAGGTGGGGAGGGGAGCACACAGGACTTTGCACACTGCCCTTGCCCTGAACACTAGCTCTGCACTCCCATTGGCTGGGAACCTGCTGCTGTCTGCTTCTGGGGTGCAGTACGGTCTGTGGTGCCAGGAGAGGCAGGAAGCTGCCTTAGCCTCCCCCACTGCACCGCTGACTGGGAGCCGTTCGAGGTAAGTTCCTCCTGCTACAACCCTAACACTCCCCCCCAAATCCAGAACCCCCTCCTACATCCCAAAGCTCTCATCCTCAGCCCCACCCCGGAGCCCACACTCTAGTCAAATTATGTTGGGTTGTGAGCATCGAGGATTTTCTTCAACTGGGTCATGGGGAAAAAAGTTTGAAAACTGCTGCTCTACAGGACACGTTCCCCATCAGCGTCTGAACATCGAAAGGAGAAACCCCACCACGACTCATTTCACAGACTGCCGGCGCTCCTGGGTTATGGCCAGCCGGGGCTGGATTCATGCCACTGACCCAAAGCAAAGTACATTTGGGTGTGGCTTAAAAGTCTCTTTCCATGCGTCTTCCTTGTCCAGGGCTTAGGGCGCCTGGCACAGCCGCCGTGAGTCTCTCCCACCCCTGTGAAGAATGGAGCACAGAGTGGAGCACCTGCTCTGCAACCTGCGGCCTGGGGATTTCTACCCGGGTGTCAAACCAGAATCCGTACTGCAGGCTCGACACTCACCACCGTTTGTGCATGCTCAGACCCTGCCAGGCTCCCCCAGGAATACCTCACACAGTAAGTGCTGGGCTTCAGCCATAAAGCGCGGCTGGCGGGTGTGTAGTTGACAACCAATTTTATAGAAAGAGGAAATCCCAACCACCACACTGACACAGTGACCACTGTAACGCTCTTAGCTGCCCATGGGCGTGTACATGCCAGTCGCCAGCTAGCACTGTGCCAGGCTGGGCATCTCCCAAAGGCGGTCTCCTTTGTGCAGGCTCCTACTGCAGCTAGAAAACCCAAATCTACAGCTAAACCGAGTGGAGCAAACCTGAGTCTTTGCCCCACTCGCTATCTGACTCCAGTGATGGACTCAGCATGACCCAGAAAGTGCTAATGGAATTGGCAAAACCTGGACGTAGCCCTCTGACCGAAGGTGCATTCCAAACTCCACTGGTCCCCCTAGATCAGTGGTCCCCAACCTTTTGGAGCTGCCAGGCACCCGGGGGCGGAGCAACTCACACGCCGGGCACCGGGGGCGAGGCAACACACACGCATCTGGGGGCGGGGCCGTGCACATGCCTGGGGGCGGGGCCACCCATATGGCGTGCGCCCAGTGCTGGCGCCACCCATGCGCTGCACTCCTGGGGAC